ACTGATCACCTTATACCACCAGCTCTGTGCCCTTCTCTTCATGTGGAGCTGGTTGGTGCATCATGGGTGAGACAGTGAGTTCTAGACTCCGCCCCTGGATCTGGGCCAGTCCTGCTGGTGCCACACAGAGGGCCTGGGACCTTCAGGGGCTCAAAATAGGTAAAACAGAACCGTGAAAACCTTGACCTATCATGACGGTCTCAGGATGCAATGAGAGGGCACTTCCAGGTCATTTTGAGTCAAAAGTATCATGACTTCCTTTCCTGGGGTAAGGGGGAACCAGGCTTGTGGCATGCAAATTTCTCCTTTCAACAAAAGTGATTTATTTATTTAAAATTGCAGCATTATTTGGGATAGGTTCCTGCCGGAGTATAAATTGCTAATAATTATGGAGATGTCCTAACATGGCAGAAGGCCAAAGGCCACAGTTTATCCCCCCAGTGAATACTTTCTCCTCTTCTTTCTCCCCTCAGCCCTGAATACAGCAGCTTCCTCTTTCCCTTCCAATCAGTTCCTAACTTGTCATTAACGCGGGCCCTCAAACTCTGCTCCCTTGGTCTCAGGCAAGTGAAGCCCTGTGGGCTGTGCATCCTTCCCGAGCCCTCACTAAAGGCCTCTTTTTCCTTCTGTCTCTCTATTGTACCAGAAAACCTCACAATTTGCGAGTTTGCTACTGTAAGATATTGACATAGATCTTCAGCCAATTAAAATTGTTCAAAACATTTTATGCAAATGAACCCTGCTTATTGTTCCAGGCTACAAAACATTAGCACTGTCTTCCCTGATGATTTTTACTCCTATGGAGCAGCTTTTTTGAAGTATTTATACAAGAAAGTAACACGTAATCCAGACCCATGAGATGGTCTCTACGCTGAGACAAAGATGGCACCTGTCACTGGCAAAAGCTTCCTCCACCCTCCCCACATGACCCCCGCCTGACTGTGGAGCTGCGATCTGTCACTGTGCACTGATTTGCATTTTCCTTAGTGTTCTATCAGAAGAGAGAGTGTTCCTTTCTGTGTGGCCTCTGTCACTCAGCACAGTTATCTAAGGCTCATTTGTGTTGGATGCGTCAAGAGCTCATTTTTTCTGACTGATCTCATGTCATATTTTGGTGTATGTGATCAATATAGAAAAACAACAATCGGTCATTCTGGAAAGTCAGAGGATACTTTATCAGACAGGTTCTGGACATAATCGTCATGGTTTTGGTTGACATGCCCCGTGCCCCTAAGCCCGCCTGGGCCTCAGTCACCTCTCCTGCAGAATGGGAGCACCATACACGCTGTGCTCAGCAGTGTCTGTTCAGGGACGGAGCAGGGCAGCCCCCTGACCTGCACTGCATGTGATGAGCGCGCCTTGTGGGCAAAGCTGCTGCTGGCTCTGGTCCTGTGGGGCTCTGAGAGCTGGGGTTTGTCTAGGGCTGACGAGTGATTGATCAAGGGAACAGGGACCGTTTCTACCACAATGAAGTGTGGCTGCACTCTGAGAAATCCCTGGCGGAGCTCTTCCGGGTCACTGCTGGATCCCAGCTCTAAGTGAGAAGACAACAGCGTGAAGTGGTTCCCAAGGCAGCTGATCCTCAGCAGGAATAAACGTGGCACAGGAAAGCTGCTCAGGGGCCTGGGGGCTCTGCCCAAGCGGTCCCACCCTAGTGGCAAAGTGAGGCCTCCTGGCAGTGGGGAGCTCCCCTCCCCTCCCCTCCCCGGGCACACCCCACGCACCTCAGTCACCACTGTGTCATTTCCCATCTGCGCATCTTTTGCCCAGTGAGGTCACCCCACTTCTCGTCAGGAAGGACCATCTGGGATCTCTGTCCTCAAGCCAGGCTTTGACCAGTAGAACACATAGGAAGTGACCCTATGTGATGTCCAAAGTTGGTCACGGCAACGTCACAGACCTTTGCTAGGTCCCCTGGGGACACTGGGATCCACCCCCTCAGCCGTGAGGAGGCTAGAGCAGCTTGTGGCGAAGCCCCAAAGGAGGAGAAGCCACCCCATCTCCTTGCTCAGATGTCCCCCAAGTGTCCATGTGATAAAGGCTTGGCACTGTTTTGCACCATCCGGGGAGGTGGGGCCCACTGAGAGGTCTTTAGGTCCCTGGGTTTGTGAACCTCTTTATGTGCAGTTTGCAGGACACAGCAGCTGCAGAGAGCTTTCTGAAGGTCGCCAGGAGCCCATATGTTATTTTGCCTGGTGTTACAGATGAAGACACTGAAGGTCCCAGGGGCCAAGGCCATGCAGAGCCAGGAGCTAGGAGAGCGACACGGGAAGTGAGGCCTGACTGTCCCAGTGACGAATGCTCTTCACGAGCCGTGAGCAGCCTCGGCTTCAGCCTGGGGACTCGCTCCTTTTCACTTGATTGAGAGAACAAACATCTTTAAGTCCCCTGTTTGCTTTAGCATACTATATAGACAACCATTTCTTTGTTCCCCATGTTTAAATTAAAAAGTGCACATTACAGAAAATCTAAGTCACCTCTAGGTGACAGCTCGGTGGCACTGAGTCCATGCGTGTCACTATCCTCCGTCTCCACAGGTTTCAGTCTCCAAATTGAAACCCAGAACCCCCCATCTACTGATGCCCCGATACCTCCTACTAGGCGAGACCATGTGACTGTCTGCTCCCACTTAGCACCCATGGTGGAGCTCGCGTCAGTTCCTGTCCTTTCCATGAAGCCTCTGTTTGCCCAGAGGCACCATCTTGCCATGTTCTGTGTCTAAAACCTGCCACACGCTGGAGTTGCTGTTCGTTCTCCGCTTGGCCTGCGTGGATGGGGTTTTCTCAGCTAGGACCAGGGGGAGAGACAGGGACCTGGCCACCGGTGATGCTCCAGGAGTTTGGCCTCTGTCCTCAGCCCTGGACACTCACTGCCCAGCGTAGCTTTGATGGTGGACCTTCCCCGAGTCGGGCTGGGTGAGGGTCCTCCTCCTCCTCAGGAGCCCAGAGTTCCCTCAGTCATTGGATGACGAGGGCCAAGGCTGTGTCTTCACCTCCTTAGCCTTCCTGGAACCAGCACAGGCCGGCCCTCTGGAATTGTGTCCCAGCCCCGCCCTCCAAGGACCCTCCTGTGCAGGCGCTGGTGTTGTTCCCCTTTGTGATTAAGGTAACAGGCACACCTTGAGGCCAGGCAGCTTCTTCGGGTCTCCTCTGGCCTCCCAGAGCTGGAATCTCTATTTCCAGCTGCAGCCGAGACGCTCAGCCAGGGAGGTGCAGGTGGGGAGCGTCCCATGGACAAATCAGCACTGTGTCTGCACCTTGTGCAGTGACCCCCAAACATCGCTGTGCTGACACAGCTGCCGTGGGTCTCAGGCAGTGGTTTGGGGGCCTAGGGTTTGATGTCTAAGGAACCTCAGATGACCTCCAGGCTGCTGGGCTCTGGGAAGAGTGGGTGATGGTGGGGAGATGGTGCTGGCCGCTGGGGACAGCTATCCGATTGCTGAGTTGAATAGAAATTCAGGCAGGGAGGTAGATGTATTGGGTCATTTGGCAACCTTCTGGGGTTGCTTTGCTTCCCTGTGTATTTTCTAGAGGCTGAGCAGAAGTTTGTCAGATAAAAGGTGAGTTCAGTGAGCCCTGACTGCACTCAGCAGGCTGTCCCTGAACTCTGGGACTAACTAGGAAACCTGTCAGAGATCGCCCCAGCCTCTACCAACAGCCCCGCAGCCCCCAGCAGCTCTAGCCGGAACGCTGGCAGGAGTCAGGCATGCAGGCTGACGGTCCTGCTCCCAGCCTGTACTAGCTCTTGACCTTAGCAACCTCCTCCCTGTGGACTTGGGAGTCCCTCTTTGAAGATCAGTGGTGTCACCACCACCCCCAATCCCTGGGATGACATCAATACAAGGTTGCTTGACTGAATGATAAAATCTACACCTCCCTTGGGAGGGAATTATGGTCCCACTCCTTGGGATCCAGGCCACGTGTATCTCGTTTAAGCAAGCTTTCAAAACAGGGGTGCACGGTCTCTGGTCTATGCTAGGGTTTCATGCATCTCCTAAAAACTCATGCTTTGGCAATTTAGCCCCCAAACTCATATGTCAATGGTGTTTAGAGGTGAGACTTTAGAAGGTGATGAGATTCAAGAAGGTCACAAATGTTGGTCCCCATGATGGCGTTAGAGTTTTGGGGTGTAGACTGAGCACCCTGCTTCCTTCTCGAGCACACATTTCTTTATTTCACACTTGTGTGCATAACATAGTCAGGTACTGGAGGACTTCCCATGTTTCACAGACTCTGTTTTCTCTTGAAATTGGCTTATAGAGAGAATTTGCAGGGTCCCAAAGGTGTCCATCTCCTGAAGCCACAATTCCCCAGCACCTTAGCAGGACATCTGCAAGCCTAGGATCCTATGTCACCTTTCCTGACGCTTCCGTAACCAGCTTCCAGCAGGATCTTGGGCCTCCCTGTGAGTGTCCCAGGCCAAGCCTCTGGCCCCTTTGTACTGTGACAGCCCCTCCCCAATTTCCTGGGCTCTGTTGGGCTCTTTGTCCCAACCTGGGTTCCCGGGGCTTTGCCTCCCTGGAGGATGAGGGGTTTGATCACTCCATGGCCTCTGATGTCCACATTGTCCACTCTCCTTTTGGGTCATGGACTCTGTGAAGTGTGGATATCCCCAGTCAGCTTTCCATCATTCCCCTGTTGTTTGAAAGCAGGCCTGTTCAGGACCTGTGGACGAGAGCTTGTTTGTGGTCAACTCTGTGTAGCTTTCTGTATTCTGAATCAGAAGTCTCCTGCCTCAAGGAAACTAGAAACCAGGCAGAGATTTTGTTTTTCAGGCTCCATTAAAAACAGTCAAAGTGCCTTAGCTATTTGGAGCAGATGGGGCAGCCAGAGAGCAGAGCTTCCCTACTGGGACAGAGGTCTTAGCAGGTCAACAGCCCTCACTGAGGCTGACCACCACTCTTGCTGGCCACAGCCTGGGCACATATGCATAGTAACTTTCATCTCTTTTAATCTTCACATAAACTCTGCATGTGCATCTTTTTTTTATTTCACTATAAGGACCAGGACGGGAGAGGTCAAGAAGATGCCCAAGGTCGTGCAGCTCGAAGTCGGGGGCCCTGGGAATTGAGCCTGTTCCCAGGCCGTTCCCAGGGTGGCTGCAGCTGGGCACGATATTTGCTTCCTGCTCATGCGCTCAGTCGCTGCTCCCTCCTGGCCACGGGAGATGCAAGTCGACTCCAAAGATTCAACCTCTCACAGTGGAGAACCCGGCCCTTCCAGAACCTGGGTCTCCTCGCTGGGCCATGGGGCAGTGCGGCAAAGGGACTGCCAGGTATAATACATCCCTCAGCGTCCATTCTATGGCTGCAGTACTCAGAGAGGGAGCTGGCAGATGCCCTTAGGTTATGGTGACTCTGCCCTCGCACCGGATTAATACGGTTACCCTCGGGCTGGGATGTTTTAGAAGTGGCTAGCTGCCTTTCGCCCTGCTTGTTCTCGTGCCCTTCTGTTTTCTGTCATGGGTGACACAGGAAGCGACCATGCCACACCCCGGCCCCTTGATCTTGGATTTCCAGAATGGTGGAGAAAAGCTCCCCGTCTTTCTATGGCCTGAGTTACTTTGTTGCAGTGGTGCTAAGTGGATGAAGACCAGGTTCCTGCGGCTTCCAGGTACGTGTGTGGTTCTGGAGTCTCCCTGGCCAGCAGACCATGGGTTCTCTCCTGCACCCCATCCCATGGAACCCACGGGGCTCTGTTTTTTCTCCCTGGATCCCCCAGGGTAGGTGCAAGGGGCTAAATGCTTCCAAAATCACCCTGTGGATTAGTGATCCATCCCAAGGACGGGACATAAAGCAATGTCATCTCTTCCCCACCCCTGGGCCCATAGAGTCCCCGGTGCGGGACTGTTGCCCAGATGAAGATCACAGCAAATTGTACACAGTGTAACCTCATCTGGTTAAAATGAAGCTAGAAAGCTGGAGCTCTGCTGATGCGGAATGCATGGCTATTTTTACACCGTTTTGAAAAATGTGTTGGATTCAGCAAAAACCTTCCCCCATAAATGACTTCCTAATTTTTGAATTCTTTTGTATGTCAAGAGAAATGCAAACCTTATATTTACAATGCACTTGCTGCTGAGTCATGGAAGTGTAATTGTGTGTTCTGACGGCTCTTTCCTTGGGACAAGAAATCACATTGACCCAGTACAAGTTCTCATTTCCCAGCTTTGGAGAAAATGACAGAAGCCCGAGTTCAGTGGGGCTTCGGCAGACACAAGTAGCCAGAGTGCGCCTGCTTGGACCAGGGCTTGCATTTTGCTTCTTTTTGATTTCCTGTTCCTCGGAAGAAACAGTTCAGTAAGAGCTGTTGATTTCTTGGTCCAAAAAAGCCCTCTTCAAAGTCAAACTAGCAACACGATGTAACACACGTGCACACGTATTTCTCAGTCCCACTTGCACCTTACACATGCCCCCGTTTGCTTTCTAGGTGGACCTGGATGCGGACCAGCAGTGAGGGCAGGGCTGAGCAGTGCGTCCGTCGCTCCCGGTGCATGGACAACTTGGTGTTGGAGAGACAGTGCACTGTGGGTGGAAGCCAGTTACCAGACGAAGAGGAGGCGCTCTCCTTAGCAGTGCCCTGGCACCTGGGCGTGGAGAAGCACATGCAAGCCCAGCAGAGGACTTGGAGTGGAACTTGGTGGTCAGTGCCTGGGCTTTGGGTCTAGTGCCTGGGCTTGGGCGTGTTTCATGGTCAGTCTTCCTTCAGTCTTCGTGAGAGGCTGAGATGCTCTGGTCCACAAGTCTAGAGGGCTCTGGGCCTGTCTGCATCCTTTCCTGCTGCATCCAGCACAGAGTTCGGAATGTGACTGATACTCAGATCATATTTCTCCTGTGGAGCCTGTTCTCACCCACAGCCTTAGCTCTTCTTAATACAGTCACAGAATTTCCTCATTTAACCTCACACCACTGTCAGCCATTCGCTATTTTTAAAATCACCTGCAGAAATTGCAATATTTGGAATTGGAATTTTTGGAGACTTGTCTAATGGCCACTTGTACATTCCTCTTGAAACAGGTGGAGGAATTCCTTTATTGGCTGGGCATGAAGGAATCAGCTAGGATGGAATGTTCTAGAAGGTTCTAGAGCTGTCGTTCAATTTGATGAACCCAGGGACACCGTGAGACAAGGGGGATCTGTGTCATCTGGTCTAATAGGAAAAGCAGTGTGTGCAGACGGCCTGGCACAGCTGGCGTGGGCAGCACAGGTGGACAGTAGAGGCAGTCCCGACGCTGGTCACAACAAGAAGTTAGGCTACCCCCGAGACAGCAGTCTCAGAAAACAGTCAGGCTTTGAGAGCAGCTGGTGGGTGGTGGCTGTCTCTAGAGCATCGGAAAGATGCAGGGTTAGGTCTCTAGACTTAAGGATGAGCACCTCTTTGAAGCAAAGCTCCAGCTTGAGAGGAGAAAGGGCCAGCTGAGAATTCACCTTTAGGCACAAAACAAAAACCCAGTTACTACGGGTGGAACACAAGACCGTCTGTGGGTGTGGACCTGAACTGAGCCCGGTTGGGGTTACCAGAGTTGCGGATGTCTGAGTGTCCTCCTGCAGGGGCACCAAGGCATGGAGACAGAGGCAGAGGAAGGCTGGCATGGTCGGGTCACTCCAGGCTCATCTCTCTGGACACACCATGAGTTACCATCCCTGCCCATGCGGAGACAGACAGGAGCTCAGCTGGAGAAGGGCTGCCCGCCATCCTTGTAGGTCAGTCCTTCCGGGAGACAGGGCTGATGAGCAGCTGCACAGATTGCCGCCTGGTGTTCCTGCACGCTGGGTACCCGTCGCCCATGTACCCGTGGACTGCTGCTGCAGTGATACCATCTACTCTCTCCTCTACACACTGTCCCCTTGGCCATGGAGGCTCAGCACACTCCTCGGCTCTTCCACTCGGTGCTCAGGAGAACCCTGACATCTCCAGCACCATCTGGGATGTATGGATGGGAAGACAGGCTTCAGAAGATTGAGTGATTTCCATCAGGTGCCAGGGTGAAGAAGTGGACCAGGTCTTCTTTCCACTGTGATACCCAGGCTCCGTGCATAGGAGGAAAGAGAAGTAAAAAATTACTTCTTGTCAGAGGACTGAGTGACATCTCAAAAGGCCCTGAGATACGTGGGGTCCACTGCCTCATGGATCAGGGGCAGTGTCTAAGCAGGGTCTGGACGGAGACAGAGAAGGCCCTCTGTGGCCATAAATGGTATAAATAGATGGGGAAATGCACGACTGAATAAATGCAGGTGTGTAACTGGTGTGTCCTCGTCTGCTTCCATGGATGCAGAGCAGGACAGGAAACGTGCTCGGTGGGAAGCCTCTGTGAGCTGGGTCCCTCCGACCTGCCACTTGAACCCCTCAATGCTCGTATTGTGTTTTTAGTGTTTCCCTCAAAGTTGTGTGTTGCAAACTTAATTCCAACTGGCAGAGTGTTGGGAGGTGAAGCCCACATGAGGTAACTGGGTTGTGAGACCTCAGCTGTCATGAATGGTGGATACTGCTGTCTCCGGAGAATGTCAGCTTTCTAAAGAGTGGGATCTGCTATAAAAGCAGGTCCAGTCCTCTCTGGCTCCCTCCTTTGGCTCTCTCTTGTGCTTCTGCCTCTACCATGAGTTGGTGCAGCTTGAACACACCCACTGGTTGCTGGTACCACACTCCTAGACTTCCCGGATTTCAGAACTGTGGGCACATAACCTTCTATTGTTTATAAGTTAACCAGTCTGGTGTGCCCTGCTGTAGCAGCAGAAAATGCACCAAGACAAGAGGCTCCCCATGTTGCATTTGAGCTGGTGCTTCTGCCTACCCAAGTAGAGAAATTGGTCGTCATGGCTACAGTCACTCAGCATGCTGGGTGTCCCTATGGGTGTCCTTGCCCCTTGGGGTCCAGCCCTGTCTCCCCACTACCACTGCCCTTTGTGCCCCAGGTTGCCATACTCACTTGAAGGAGCTCAGTGTAGTTGAGAGAGACCCATGGAGTGGGCTCCAAGCAGGGCGAAGGTGACAGATGCCCAAGCAAGGGGCTCTGGGAGAGGCTAAGTGTGCTCAACAGGACTTTCCAGGCAGCCAGGAAGGGCTCAGAGCATGCCGAGAAAAAAATAAATCCTCCATTTTGTGCCTGCAACAATAAAATTAGAAATAACCAGAGAAAAGCAAGACCTAAAATTATCTAACCACACACAATCTAAAAATAGTCTCCTAAGGATCAACAAGGCAGGGAGGAAATTTAAAGAAAATGAAAGGATTTAAGCAAACAATTAAAACACAGATCCCCTCACAAAGTGTGTGGACTCGGGCCAGACCATTCTCCGAGGGAATGAGGTTCCTTCAAATAGCAAGTTTCGTAAAATTACCGTGGAGGCTTTCACAGCAGAAGATGTCCACAAAGATGCTCTTCATAGAACAGAGATAGGGGAAAGAAATAGGCACAATGCAGAAAAATAAGCTAGGAACCGAGGCAAAAAGTTAGGCAGCAGTTGATGCCTTGAAAATGTATCTCTAATACCCTGACAAGCTAGCGACAGTGCTTGTAACAGGGAAAAGGCGACGGAGTAGAAGCTTACCAACTCAGAAGTGAAACTAGGCATGAGACTCTCAGGACACATGGGGAAACCGAGGCCAATAAAATTCGGACAACACCAGAGCCAGAGTCCTGGGTTCAAGTGTCACTGGGGTGCCTTGGTTTCAGTCTGTTGCCCCCAAGTTCCCTTCCTCTGCCTTATTCAACCTCCTGTGTGTTTCCTCAGCAAAATAAGGGGACCCCTAACAACCGCCAGGCCTGAATGAGTTAACACTGGTCACTTACGGGGCATGGAGGGGTCTCAGCCTGCTCCCCACACTGCGCTAATTACGGGAGCTCACAGCAGCCAGGGGCAGCTGCGCTGTGCAGAATCCTGTTGTACAGAGAAAAAAAAAACCCCACATCAAGAACGGTGAAAAACATCGTTTGAGGGCCCTGAACATGCTCCGTAAGATTTTCCAAAATGCTGCACGATCAGACTACAACATGATGGAGGAGCGGAGAAGCCTGGGCTTACCACGGCCTCTGTGCCCGGGGCCGGAGCTGACCCCCGTGGGCACTGATTCATGATGACTGTGGTGCACAAAATGCTCGTGATTTTCACAATTAATGCCTATTAAATTCTTCATTTCCTCCAGCTTCCCATGGTCCGAATATAATTCCTCCACACCAAAACAGGCCCCCTGACTTAAGTCCTTGATGTCTTAGACATTTTCTTGTCCCTGGGACAAAATACCCAACAGCCACAGCTTAAAGGAGGGGAGTTTTATTTGGCTTCCATTTTTAAAGCATTTAGTCCATGGGTGGTTGGTTCCAAGGCCCAGACAGCTTAGGGGAAGCCCTCGTGGAGAGAAATCGCTCATCCCCAAAGCAGTTCACCCAAAATGGAGAGAAAGAGGAGCCAGTGATTAAAATAGACCTTCGGGGTCACCTCCTTTAGCTACCCCCAGCCACGCCCCACCCCCACACAGCACATTCAGCCAGGAACTGATCCGAGGGTGAGCCCGCTGGGGAGCACAGCACCCCATGACCCAGCCACCTGCCACACACATGAGGTCAGTTTGGAGCACAGTTTGGGTCTCAGCCATAACATTGGCACCAGCAGAGTTAGGAGGTGGGGCCAAGGGAGCTGTGGGTTATGCGGGAGGAGCCTGGGAACATGGATCCTTTCCTCCTGGGAGGCAGGCACCCTCCAGCTCTGCTCTTTTATACCCCCAGCTGAAGCAGCACAGCGCCCTCACAAGCAGCCAGGCAGACACCAGCACCAAGTTCTCAGACTTCCGGCCTCCAGAACCCTGAGCCCAATAAACTTTTTGCTTTATAAATTTTCCAGTCTCTGTGATAGCAACAGGAAACAAGCTAAGCAGGCATGATGGAGAAATGGTGTCTCCTGACTCTGGTGTTCCTAGAAACATCAGCCCAGGGAGACTGATTCGTGCACAGGGGTGATGACACATGACAGGACCTGTTAAATTGAGAGTTACAGGGAGCGGCGCGTTGCTGTGAATGTCTCTCAGTGTCCCCTCCCCTTGAACGCTTTTATCCCGAGGCTCCTGCCACTCTCCGAAGCAGGTCTGTAGGTCCTCTGTCCCGAGGCTCCTTAGCTGTGCTGTCGTGGGTTCCCTGATGTCCTCAACTCATGGTTCTGACAATGTGTTATTTACTGTCATGAGCTTTAAAATTTAAACGTTCACTGTATATTTTTATCGCACCTCATCTGTCTGAAGAAAAGATTGTCATTGTTGAGGAAGAGAGGAGCTTCCACTGGAGACTAGCAGAACTTGGGGTGCTGTGTGGCTGTGCAGGGGTTGTGTGCAGAGGCGAGGAGGAGCTGCATGATGAGAAGGCAGATGGGCTCTCTGTGGGCAGGGCGAGGCCGCTGTCCAGGAGGCAGGGAGTGGGGGTGGGGATCTGACTCTTGAGGTACCACGTGGAGTCTTACCAGCTCGAAGCAGCAGAGCTGGGCTCCTGTGACCCCTAGGGATGGCAGGGATCAAGCTCAGGAGTGCAGGGTCTTGGGGGGAGGGGTACCCTGCAAACTCAAAGTCCAGGACCAGACGAATCTGCTCATCTTGTGCTGGAGTGGGCAGAAGACCACGTATGAGTGCCCTCCAGAGCACAGTCACACCTTTGACACCTGTGGCCTGAGTTTAGTTTTTCCCTAACTTTCATAGCATGACACTTGCACATAGAAATAAAATGGAATTGGGTTTGCAGTCTGCCTATGTACTCGGGGTGGTCCCTGTCGCTGGAATGTTCTAGCGGGGACTGGAGAAACATTGGGTAAAATGCATGGGCGGGTGGTGTGCCCTGTGCCCAGGGGGTGGCATGACATGTGAGGAAGGGTGTGCTGTAAAGAATGAGGGTGGTGCCCACTCATCAGGACGGAGGTGCTCGCGTCGAGGCGGGCACGATGGTGCCCAGGAACAGCAGGAGGCACGTGAGGATGTGGGGACACCTCGGGCAAGTGCAGCTCCTCAGGGAGTATCTGAAAATGCATTGGGTTAAGTTTTAAAAGTTATTAACTTGGCTGTAGCGAGCTCTCGCAGACTTAGACACTCGGGATCTTCACTTCCGGAAACCATCCTCTACCATGTCCTCCAGGACCCTCTCCCTCTTGCCGATATGTCCGTGGTGCTCCTGCTGGGTCTCTGGTGGAGATGCTTATCCCACCATCCCTGCCCGTTAGCGTCTCTTTCACAATCTCCTTCTCATCGAACTCTTGACTAATGAGGCTGGAGATTTTCTGCTCAGTTCAATAAGCAATGGTTTCCCTTGACTCCTGCTCAGTCCTGAGCCGTTTTCATGCTGAATGTGCTTTTAGGACTCTTCATGATCTCTGATACTTGATTCACCAACTCACATTCTTGTTTTTGGATGCATTTCTTCATCTTTTCCTTTAGGGGATTTTTAAAAGACCGATTTTTAAAAGTTCTTTCCAGATCATTATTTCCATTTGCTCTTGGGGAAAATTCTGCCATTTACCAGAGCTGTCACCCACATTTTTGTGTTTGCTCCACATTTTTGGCCTTCACACTCATTTTGCCACAGGTTTTATTTTTGTGGCTGTCATTTTAAACATTTTCTTTGCAAATTTCCTTGTTATTGTATGGTGGTTTTCCAGATTCTGCCAGGCTCCCTATGGTCTACACCTCAGGACAGAGTCTAATGAAAGGGCTCCAGCCCTCACCCTTTGGAGATTTGCAGTCTCTCCCCGAACCTGTGAGGGGCAGCTAGAAGCACCCAGTCGCACAATTTCAGGGCCACCATCTCCCTGGGATGTGATGTTGGCCATGCATGTTGGAACTGTGCAGTGGACCCATTTCAAGTCTTAAGATGGCTGTTGCCTCCCCCTCCTTGAAGGTCTGCTGTCCAGGGTCGGAGTATAAATCACATGTTTAAGGAGCTTCATCGGAGAGTGGTCCAGACCCTGTGTGTTCCTTGCCGAACTGTGATGCAGTCCCAAGTTCTGAAAGAGTGCCCTTCAATTCCAGGATCAATGGAAAACTTGATTCCTCTGATTTTCCCATGTGCCTGTGGGTGTGTGTAGGGCATACATGTTGTAGTCAGGGTTTGCAAGGGTATAGATTTAATATAGCACACATAATTTATAGGATTATTTTGTAATATTCGCCTTAAAAAGTCAAATGCAGAACAGTGCAAGAGATCCGTGAACTAGAGACCCAAAGAATCTGGCTGAGGGCCTGGATCCTACAGCAATGACCTGC